GGTTAATTTGTGTTTATACAGAGAAGACAAGGTTCTCACGCATGTTGGGCGGGTGTTCTTTGAACTCCGTGACACCCAGGTGATCGTCCGCCTTGGTCTCGCCAAGATTACAGCGGCGGAGGCCACTGCACCTGGCTCCACTTTGCTTGTTGAATCTACGAGTGTAGGCTCAAAGCTTGGCGTGGATGACCTATTGAAATAACAGTTGATACCAAAGTATTTACTGAGCACCCAACGATCTCTAACTTTACAACTGGTATCTTTACTTCACAATATTTATGTGAGTGTTCCCAGGCTCGGAATATCCTCAGTGAAGCATGAATAAAGAGTTCTGTTGGCCGGTACAGGTGCTCACGCCTGTAATCGCCAGCAGCGTTGTTGGGAGCGCAAGGTGGTCGGATTCACCTGAGGTCAGGAGTTCGAAGGACCGAGCATTGAGCAAACGATGGTGAAACCCGTGTCTTTAGCTAAAAAATACACATGTCCCAATTAGCCAGGGTGTCGTGGGTGGTGCATGCCTGTGAATCCCGAGTACTGGCGGGAGGGCTTGAGACAGAATTTCTTGACTGGGAGGCGGAGGTTGCTCAGCGAGCGAAGATCGCACGCCATTGCACTCAGCCTGGGACATATTAAGAGTGAAATGTCTATTTCCAAAAAAAAGAAAGATATGAGCCCTGTTAATGGTGGACGGACGGAGGACTCACTCTGTTGCCAGGCTGGGAGTGCCAGTGGTGCAACCTCTGCTCACTGGCGAAACCTCCGCCTCCCGGGTTCAGAGCGGTTCTGCCTGCCCTCAGTCGTCCGAGTGTCTGGGACTACGAGCTGGTCAGTGCCACATGCCGGTATTTTTGTTATTTGTTCACTAGGCAGGGTAACCATGTTGGCCAGGAATGTGTCCTGATCTCTTGTCTCATGATCTGCCTCCTCGGCTTCCAAGAGTGAGTGCAGAGCCGAGGGCGGCGCCAAGAGTCATAATGTAAACTTAGCGAAAACGCAGAGTGGTGGCTGGCCCCACTCTGAGGGCAGAGTGCAGAGTGTAAAGGGTAGGGTGGTCAGGAGTAGGCAGCCGATTAGACATTTGGGAAGAACATTGCCAGGCAGAGGGAATGGAGCAAAAGCTATTAGGCAAGTGCATGCCTGGCAAGTTTAAGGAGCAGCCAGAAGACATATGTGTCTCCGCTCCACCGTGGCAGGAAGGAAAGGAAGTAGTGTCAGGAGAGTATGGATGGGGGGAGGAAGGAAAAATTAAACTTTGCATGTGAGTTTTGGCTTTTTGTGAAAGTCTGCGCTCGCCAGCTAATAGTGCACAATACGTGCTCCCGTGAAGACGCTGCGCGCTCCTGGGTTTGAGTGATGTCTCCGTCAGCTGTCTCCCTGCACTAGCTGAATGTACAGGTGCTCTCGCCCATCTAATTTTGTTATTTTTAGTAGAGCAGGCGCTTCGCGCATGCAGCGGTCTTGAACCTCCCTGAAGCGTGAAGTCCGCGTGCCTTGGGTCGTCCCAAAAGCAGGGATTACAGGGCTGCGCCCACTTGTGTTCGTCTCGAGTGCAAGTTCTCCTTTCGTATGTTTAGGTGTGTCGCAGCAAGCATGAGTCCCACATCTTAATATGTGCCGCGCGCCGAAGAGTGTACACTGCGAGTCAGTGTGTCTGCGCTGGGTGTCGAATGAAAATGTGGGTTGTTTACGGGTCGGTGTATGGAAGTGGTAGGGCCTAGATGGTTTTGGAGCAAAAAATGACAATGCGCTTGTGATGAAAGCATTTGTGTGGCGCAACATAGAACAGATGTGTGATGAAGGTGATTAGTGGTATTGTTTTGTGTTTCCGCGTGTCCAAGTGTGTTGAGCAGGGAGTAGGTTGGATTGTGTGTGGGCCTGGTGGATTGATGATTGATTGATTTTTTTTTTTTTTTTTTTTGATGAGGAGTCTCGCTCTGTGCGCCAGCTGGAGGCAAGTGGCGCCATCTCCGCGCTCACTGCAAGCTCGCCCCCGGGTTCACAAGCATTCGCCTGCCTCGCTTCCCCCGAGTAGCTGGGGCACTACAGGCGCGCCACCACCCGGCTAATTTTTGTGTTTGTTGGTAGAGACGGGGTTTCACCATGTTAGCCCAGGATGGTCTCTGGATTCCCTGAATCCGTGATCCGCCCGTCTGTTGCCTCACAAAAGTGCTGAGAGACTTCAAGCGTGAGCCAGCGCGCCCGGTGATTGATTGATTTTTGAGACAGGGATGTCTTCCTCTGTCGCAGGCTGGAGTGAGGGCACCATCTTGGCTCCACTGCAACTCGTGCGCTTCCTAGGTTCAAGCGACTTCCTCCATGCCTCAGCCTCCCTGAGTAGCTGGATACAGGCGGCGTGCCAGCCAGTGC